AGACTGGAGTTATGGACAGTTGTTAGCTGCCATGTGGGTGCTGGGATTCGAATGCTGGTCTTCTCTAAGAACACCCAGAGGGAGAGGGGGAGGGGGAAAGGGAGGGAGAGGGAGGAGAAGGGAGAGGGAGGAGAGAAACTTTATTATTATTTTTAATTTAAAGACAGTCTTCCTGCAGCCCTAGCTGATCTGGAACTTGCTGTGTAGACCAGCCTGACCTCCATCTCACAGAGATCCACCATATGCCTCACAAGTGCATATGCCACCATGCCTGGCTCTCGCTTCCTTTTTAAAATGGTTTTCATATTGATTTGTAAAACTATTACAAGTTCTGAAAAAAGCCTTTTATCATGTATATGACTTCAATTTTTTTTTTTTTTAAAGCTAGTCTGCCACTTGGTGTGGTTTGGATATGAAGGCTCATGTGGGACTGGAGAGATGGCTCCACAGTTAAGAGCACTGGCAGACCTCCTGCAGAGGACCCAGGTTGAGTTCCTAGCACTTACAGCACTCCTAACAGCTGGCTGTAACTAGTTCCAGGGGATCTGATGCCCTCTCTGGCCTCCACCCGCACTGCATGATATGGGTGCACATCCTGGTTTGTTTCTTCATTGCTGTGACAAAACACTCTACTACCAACTTGAGGAGTAAAGGGTTTCTTTCTTTTACATCTCCTGGGTCACAGTTCATCAGGGAGCCCATGGTAGGAACTCAGGGCAGGAACTTGGAGGCAGGAGCTGGAGCACAGTCCATGGAGGAGGCCTGCTTACTACCTTGCGTTCCTATGCAACACAGGCCTACTTGCCCAGGGGCAACACCACCCACAGTGGGCTGGACCCTCCCACTTCACTCAGTAATCAAGAGGATGCCCCACAGACATGGCCAAAGGGCAGTCCAATGAAGACAGTTCCCCATTTGAGGCTCCCTTAACCCAGGTGTGTCAAGTTAACACTAAAGCTGTCCAGCACAGTGTACTTACATACATGCAGGCAAATTACTCATATATGTAAAGTAATAAAATATTTTTTAAAAAGGCTCATGTTTAGACAGTTTGGTCACTAGTGCAGCAGTATTCAGAGGTGACCGAATCATAAGTGCTCTGAGCTAATCAATGAATTCACTCATTGATAGATTCATAATTTGATGATACTGTTGGATGGTGGTAGAACCTAAGAGGTAGGTGGGTAGAGAAGTAGTCTATAACAATAGTTGGAACTTACAACTTTTATTATTCAGCTGGAATAATCAAAGTAGCTTAAATGTTTGATGTGTGTACCAAAGTACAGATCAGCAGAACAGAATGCCTGACCTGGTGGCTTGGACCAGTTAATTCTAGTCAACTGATTTTTGAAAGAGGTGAAAAACTAATTAAGTGAAAAAGTATTTTGTATTGGATATTCATAATACTCCTCAAAGTAATCTCTTCATATCATTTGAATGACCTTTAGAAATACATTTAAGCCAGTAAGAATCATAGACCTAATATCAAAGCAAAAACACCTAGAAGCAGCTTCATTTTAGGTAAATGTTACTTAGATATGACACTAAAAGAGTGATCATAGATGAAAATGCTTTGATGTCATCAATGGAAATTTCATATTTGATCTATTGTAACTCAAAGTCCATATGAAGAAAGTGATGACAGAAGTATGTTCACCTGTTTGGAAACACTGGTCTCTATATTCTTTTTGACTTCCCTCCAGTTTTTCTCCTCACTGCTTCCAGTCCATTGTCCCCCACCTCCCAAAAAACCACCCTCCCACCCCACAAAGCCAGTCATTTCATCTCTAACTTAAAAAGTCTGCAAGTACCTTCATGTTACTCTTAGAACAAAGCTCCAGATTGCAAGGATGGCCTGGCCTGTCTTATATAAGACTTTATCTTATATGCTCTGATGCTGGGGGTTTGAACCCGCGACCCCTGGCAAGGTGAGGATTGGGGATGAGTAAGCACTCTGTTTGCCAGCCCACGCTGCCCCCATTACCCGGGGACACTCAGACGCAACGGGGAGCCTAGTCAAGCTGGGACTCATTTATTGCAAGTGTTCCAAAGCTTATAAAGGCACCTGGAACTCCCCGCCCCCTAGGGTGTATCTTAAGGATGGCCACGCTGATCATGCACTCCTCAGCAGTCCGGAAGTATTCTTCAGACTTTCAAAGCAAGCCAGGCCGCGCCCCCAGTAACTTCCTTTCAGACCTGTGCAAGGTGGGGCCTTTAGGTCCCCACAGTCTAATCTTTCCCCTAATCTTCAGTCTGGATCATTATCCAGTCATCACCTTCAATTTAGGGAGAACTTTGCATTCTATTTCTTAAAAGCCAAGGCTGTGACCTACAACATCAGCAGTCAACTTGGGAATCTGAGGGATTTTTGTTGGAATTTCTGTTCTTCATTTGTTAGCTCTCTGTGGCTGAGCACTGAGATGGATTTTCTTATCTGAAATACAGTGTGGAACACTGAGTATTTCATAAGATTGTTAGAGGGTTTATATTATGTACGTGAGGCATAGTGCTTTCTGGTGTTTTCTTCCTGTCATTTCTTTGTCAGTGAGTATGTAGGCGATTCCAACATGTGCAAGCATAGTCATTTTGCTGTCATTACTCCTGATTATTTGTGGTAAAGTTACACCTGAATTCCGTTTGGGTTTCAACACATTTAATAAATGCTTCATATTTAAACTTAAAAAAATTTATTGTGTATATGGGAGACACACATGCTATGGCCCCCATATGGAGGTAAGAGGACAACTTAGCTCTATCATGTGGGTTCTGGGGATTGAGCTCAGGCTTGGTATCAACTGCCTTTACCTGGTGAGCCATTTCATTGGCCTGAATGCCCCATATTTGTAGTTCATAGTACTAGCTTTTTGTAAAACAAATTTTTTTTTAAGTGTAGCATAGAGTTTTCTTTAAGGAAAAATAATTTTTTCTTCTATAATGAGAGTATTAGACTTTTTTAGTTATCGTGCTTAGTTGCTTCCACTCTAGGTTGATTCCTTAACCTTTCTTTGACTTTCATGACAGCAGATTTGTCAGAGACCAGTTTTATAGACTCTTCCCCAATTTGAGCCTGTTTACTTATATTTATTGAGGCTAAGCTTTCTTTGAATAAGGGGTAGTGACACGTCAAAGATGCAGTGTCATTTAGAGGTTTGTGGTGTCAGTTTTGTTTCTTATTGATGATATTAACATAGCTTGTTTATGTTATTGTGCCCCAGATTTACTGTCTCTAAAGTTGCCATTTTCTCCTTTGTTGTTAGTAAGTAGTCAGTGGGGATATACAATGTGACGCTGTAAAAAATTTTTTTGTCTTTGCATTAGCATTTTATCTTTTTTTTAGAATATTTTTATTATTCCAAAGAGAGGCAATTTTTAGTACATTTTTCCAGAAATAACTTGAAGCAGGTTACATAAATATATATATATATATATGAAGTTTAAGGGTGGAAAAGTAGGGATAAGAAATCAAAGACCAAAGCTAAACATGGTGGCACACATCTTCAATCCAAGCCCTTGGGAGGCAGAGCCAAGCAGATCTTTGAGAGCTCGAGGCCAGCCTGGTCCACATAGTGAGCTCCAGGCTAGTTGGCGTTACAGGGAGACCCTCTTTCAAAAAGACAAAAACAAACAAACAAAAAAACCAAAGACCAAAGGATTTGCCAACATGGGGTCAACTTTGGTGGAATAATGAAGGTGTCCATTAGCTCTGTTCTTTTATTTTTTTTTAAAAGTGGGCTTGCTAACAGAGCATAGGGTGGGGGTTTCTTTACAGAAGAATGGGTGCCACCCCCACCCCTGCATTTATAGCTGCGCTGGAAAGTCCATACTCAAATATAGATCCTGTGACTTCCCAACAGCCACACAAAATGGCGAGAGGGGTGGCTCATGGTGTTCTGAACTTACATATCCTTAGCCCCTCCCCCACATACAACTAAGGTCGACTGATTGAGTGGGAGGGGTAATTGACTCCCCCTTAGAATCCTTGATGAGTGCGGGAAGGAAGTGTGACTATAGCTTGCTGGCATAGTGATTGGAGGATACTTGTAGGTAACACTCCACCCCTTCCTCCAGCTCTTATATTCTTTCTGCTAACCTCTTCTGCAAAAGTCCCTGAGTTTTGGAGGGGTGGTAGGTGTGGGATGATCTTCCTCTCAGGGTGGCAAGGCACTAAACTTTTGGGTTTTTGCATCATCTGTTTTCCATGGGCTTTTGGGCCATTTCAGTGGGATTCCATCTACTACCAAAGCACAAGCAGAAAGAATCAAGAACTTCTAAACAGTGACTGCTATTACTTAACCTATGGGTGTAAACACAAATACTTGGACAGTACTTTAGCAGGTACATCACATCCATCTAACAAGTCAATTGCAGTGACTTCCCACTGGGGCCTGTACAGGAGGTTGGTCTGGGCTACAGTACCAGATGTGTGTTCTACCCCTAGGAGTGGGCATTGTATCCAATTGAAAATTTGCTGGTTATGCATACACTAGACGCACCACTTTTGCACCAGCAGGAAGATCTTGTTTAGCATGTTGATAGTTAATGCATTAACATTTTAAAGTAATTTATATATATATATATATATATATATATATGAGTCTTTTGCTTGCGTGCTTATAAGTGCACCTGTGTATGCAGTGCCCTGGAACTGGAGTAACAGATGGTTATTAGCAGCCATGTGGGTGTTGGGAATTGAATCCAGGTCCTTTGCAAGAACACCCAGTACTCTAACCGCTGAACCATCTCTCCAGCCCCATATATTTTCTTTATTTGAATAGATTTTGGCCCCTTACTTTTGCATTCCCAGTGTTGCTTGTCTGAATCAGGCATATTTCCATGTTGATTACAAGTAGCAGATTATTAGAATTCCAAAGAAATGTTGTAGGGTTTGGTTTCCGTTTAGTGTTCCTGAGAGGGAGCTTTCTTTATTTAATAGTGATAATTACAAGATATTTTGTTGTTACTTGCTTGTGTAATAGCCTTATTTCTTAAACGATTTTTAGGTTCATGTACTGGACAGATTGGGGAGAAGTGCCAAAGATAGAACGTGCTGGAATGGATGGTTCAAGTCGCTTTGTTATAATAAACACTGAAATTTACTGGCCAAATGGACTGACTTTGGATTATGAAGAACGGAAGCTTTATTGGGCAGATGCAAAGCTTAATTTCATCCATAAATCAAACCTGGATGGAACAAATCGGTAAGACTGCCATACGCTTTTAAATTGAATTTTATTTATCTGTGTGTGTCTGTGTGTGTGTATGTTATATGCATGTGTGGATGTGCATGCCTGTTCACATTGAGGCAAGAAGAGGATTCTCTCCGAACTAGAGTCCCAGGCATTTACAGGATACCCTGCTTCTTATATTGGTGCTGGGATCTAAATTCTAGTCTTTATGATTGCACAGCAAATGCTCTTAACTGCTGAGCTATTTCTCTAGCCTTGTTATGTTTTTTTCCTTTGTTTTTAAATTTAACAGAGTTCCATTTTAATTTGATATGTTAACATACAAAGCTCAATTTTTTTAAAAAACAAGAAATTAGGGGCTGGAGAGATGGCTCAGCAGTTAAGAGTACTGACTGCTCTTGCAGAGGACCCTGGTTCAATTCCCAGCACCCACACAGTGGCTACGAACTGTCCTTACCTCCAGTTCCAGGGGAATCTGAAACCCTCTTCTGAACTCCATGGCATTGCACAGCACAGGTGCACTCACTTACATGCAGGCAATACACTCATACACATAAAAATAAAAATAAATAAAATATTAAAAAAAATAAATTACTATATTTTTCTGTTCGTGTCAGAAAGGAATTGGAATAGATTTTTAATTTGGTCTTCTAAAAAGTAGCTATATTTCTCAGGGCTGGGTAAACCACTTTCTGTGCAAACATGAGGACCTTGATTTGGATCCCTACTACCCCCACAAAAAGTAAGGCATGGCAGTGTGCTCCTGTAATCCCACCTCTGGGAAGTGGCGACAGAAGAATCCCAGGGGCTCGCTGGCTAGCTAGTCATATCAGTGAGCTCCAGGTTCAGTGAGAGACCCTGACTCAAGAAAATAAAAAAGAAAGTTGGAGACAATAAAGGAAGACACCCAGCACTGACCTCTGGCTCCTAGAGGTGCACTCACGGGTGTGTGCATCCACATACACACATGTACCTCCCCCCCAATGTAGTTACATTCTCATGCATTGTCATAGCATTTAGAACTTATGGACTTAGTGAGGCCCTGTCTATAAATAAACGAATAAAAACTAAAAAATAAGCCAGGTGTGGTGGTACATTCCTTTAGTAGAACTCACGGACTGACTTTTTCTTATCCTTGTTTCAGGCTTAGCTGTCTAATAGTTTTCAGCCAGGGATAGCATCTTCCCTCCTTCCCAGAGTTTGGAAATGTAGAGGGAATTTTGATTAACCTAAGGACTAAAGTGCCGCTAGCATTCCAATTCCTAGGGTTTAGAGGTGTTATATGTCTTGCAGTATGTGGATAGTCCAATATCAGAATGAGTTGTCCAGCTCAAAATTAACATTAGAATCACCAATTACTGCTATGTAAGCTTACTTGATAAACCTCTGTACTAGGATAGGGTGTCTGTTTTGTATTGCTGTAACAGAATACATGAAATGGAACAACTTATAAAAGAGGTTTATTATGGCTCATGGTTTCTGAAAGCTGTGAAGTTTTAAGTCTGGGTGGCCATATTTGTTGAAGATGTCATCCTGTCGTAAGAAAAAAAAGCAAACAGTCAAGCAAACATGTACAGAAGAGAGAAAGATCAGGTGCTTTGTAACAGCCCAACTTAGTAATGGCTGATCCGTTCTTCTGGGAACTCCAAGATGAGATTCTTCTCAGTGACCTTAATGCTTCTTAAAGGCCTCACCATGTTGATGCTGTTAAATTGGCAGTTAAATTTCATGAGAGTTTGAGTAGAGAAAAACCACATCCAAACCATACTACAGAAATTGGCCGACCTTTCTTATGAAAGGTTCAGGTATTAAATATTTAGACCTCGTTTATCTTATGGTCTCTGATTCATCTACTTAACTCTGCTACCTTTTGGGGTTTGTGGGCAGCTATTAGATAACATTTATAAAGGAAAAGGCATGACTTTTTTTTCTTTTTTTTTCTTTTTTTTGGTCTTTTTCAGACAGGGTCTCCCTGTAGCCCCAGCTGTCCTGGAACTCACTATGTAGACCAGGCTGGCCTTGAACTCAGAGATCTACCCCCCTCTGCCTCCCGAGTGCTGGGATTAAAGGCGTGTGCCACCATGGCAGTTGACTGTTTTAGCAAAGCCTTATTTATAAAACTAAAACCGATAGAGGCCATGGAATGAAGTTTTCTGACCCTCCCCCCCAGATAAGAGAAAACATGATCGTATATGCCAGTATTTGAGGAAGTCACAGCCTGTGTTACAGACACATAGGATTTCTCACATCATGTCTGGCTTTTCAGAGACACTTTATAGTTACATTCTTGCATTTGATTATGTAGGTTTTTGGTGGTGTCTTGAGATTGCAACAGAGGAAAGTCTTAGTGGAAGGATTTTCCAAAGTGCAAACATTTGTATATTTTCTGAATTAGGAAGTTTAAAAATTTTAATTAAAACAAACTTTGGTTATCAGAATTTTCTTTTACTTTGTTTCAAAAAAATAAAATAACTTAGAAGATGATTTAGAAATATTGAAAAGTGAATTTTAAAAAAAGAACATATAAATATAAAATCTAATTTCTGTATTCAATTTCATATTTGGTTTGAGTGGGATTCTAGGAATATGGCTATGCTATGTCATAGTTTTGTTTTTTTTTTATAACCAAAACAGACAGAAGCTGGATAACAAATACAAAAATGTGGATAAAATTTGACTATAAAGTTACAAAAATACAGGGGCTGGAGAGATCACTCAGAGGTTAAGAACACTGGCTGTTCTTGCAGAAGACCTGGGTTCGAATCCCAGCACCCACATGGCAGCTAACAACTGTCAGTAACTCCAGTCCTGGGGGATCTGACAGATTCTTCTGTCCTCCGCGGGCATTGCATAACACAGGTGCACTTACCTACATGCAGGCAATACATACATACACATAAAAATAAATAAAATATATTTTTTAAAAAATTACAAAAATGCAATACAGATAAGGACGAGCCATCAATAGCCACAAGTCCTCCGTGGCATCACAGTCTATACAAAGAGTAAGCAGAGAGAGTTAGTAGTATCTCAGAGGACTTGAAAGTAGGGAAGCTCAGAAAGAGCCTGAGGGATGTGGCCTATTTTAAGAGTGGCAGGCAAAATGGGGGCAAGAGTAGTTGCTCACTGCAGTATATGTGGCAAGTACAGTGTGTCATGGTAAGGATGGAAGGAATAAAAGCAGTTTAATACCAGTGAACTCTTTCAAAATGGTGTTGCCAGAGTTCTTACCCTAAACAGGGTATTATATTGAATAGAAGTAAATGGCATACGAGAATGGATTAGAAACTGAGCAAGACAGGGAAAGTGGAACAGGGAGAGAGGAGGGGAAGGAAAGAGAAGTGTCTAGGAAGTGTGGGGAGGGGAACAGGAGTTCTCAAAAACCAAGCTGTCATGTTTTTGAATATTATACAAAACAAGGGGAATATATTTTGTGAAGTTAGAAAATTACCTTGAATTCTTTTAAAGTTAAGGAAAAGTAATTTCATATAGAATTGGAAATGTATCAAGATAAAATGCCATTTAAAGTTATTGCAAAGGAAAAAAGAACAAGAAACAGAATCCTTATATACAAAGCATTCCAGAAAAACTTCACCACAGAAGGCAAACTTTTGTTTAAATATGTCCCCAAAGTTAGTGAGAAACCAGTGTAGTATGTAAAAGAAAATGTAAGATTAGAATAGTTCTGAAATAAGATGGTAAAACCCAAGAAGGAATTATAAATAAAAGAAAAAAATTTTCAAGTTGACAGTAGTTTGCTGCTTGCTAGCTAACCTTGGGCTCATGGGATTTAGTCACTCCAGAGTAGCCAAGAACCCCTCCTGTCATCTGCTGCTTGAAATCATTTGCTGAGCTTGCAAGTGTTGTCTGTCTTGTGTGCTTCTCTGTGCTTAGGTTTACTTACAAGTCCTATTGTTTTTCTGATTCTTCCTGGTTACACTAGTCAGGTCTTTTGGCCTGTGGTAGTTTTCCACAGCTTTTTGTACCTTGGGTTTGTGCCTTTTCGCAGGGCTTTGTTGTGAATATTATTGAGGGGTTTTGGAATACTTGCGTACTTCTGTTTTTATGTAGAGTATTGATGATTTTCAGTAGCTGTCCTACCTCCATGGATGTCATCTTCTTAGCTGTCCTAACAAGCTTACTATAGTGTGGAGAAATTCCCTTCCAATGTGAGGTTCAAGGCAGTGTTTGCCGGTATTCCTGTGGTGGTTGTTGTAGGATTTATTACTCAGGTGGGCAGTTCTAAGAGGGGTCAGGGCTGTCCAGAAACAAAAACCAAGCAAGAGTATGAAAATGCTTTGTATAGAGTAAACCTAAATGGTGTAGAATTTGAAAGAAGTATCTGAAAGGTTCACTGAATCTGAAAGAGGTAACAAGGGAGTCCTTGCACATGGGGCTTATTGATGAGGGTAAATATTCTTAGTAAGCTGCAGAAAATGACAGAGGCAAGAAATGAAGCTCAGCGGTCGTTAGCACTAAACTCAAAGGGCAGTGAGGTTGAGTCAGTTTGTCCTGTGGGCTCCCTGGTTGAGATCTACTTTGTAAGCTCTGGTTATTGTGGCATGCTACTGAAGAGCCTGGGCTTTGTCCTTCCTGATGCCATTTGGGGCTTTTTTGTTTTTTTTTTTGTCTTTTTGAGACAGGGTCTCCCTGTAGCCCCAGCTGGCCTGGACTCACTGTGTAAACCAGTCTAGCCTTGAAATCACAGAATCCACCTGCCTCTGCCTCCTAAGTGCTGGAATCAAAGGCATGTGCCACCACATCCAGCCAATTTTAGGCCTGTTTTTTTTTGTTTTTGTTTTTGGTTTTTTGAGACAGCATCTCCCTGTAGCCCCAGCTGAGCCGCTTGTGTTTTAAGGGAGGAAAGTAAAGAGCTAGCTTTCTTGGTCAGAAGTCGAAGACTGTATATTGTTATTTCTACTCTCAGGAGCAGACTGTCATGGGCTAAACAGATCAGTAACTTTCCCTTAGAGTCTCTTAAGTTCTGCTTTTCATTGAGCTCGGTTAGCCACATACTTTTCATTAAAAACATTTAGTTTTATCAAACATTCACTTGGCGTTTAATAAGCACACTAATTTTTTTTTTTTGCATTATAACTTCGATTCTATTTTCACCCTTTATTTGGAATACAGGGAAACATTAGTTTCAGACTTTTAAGAATAAACATGATGATAAAGTGTTGAAAATAAGTATGACCGGAATTCTGAGAGTAAGTAGTTTTCCAGTTTAGGGAGTAGGAAAGAGAAAGGGTATAAGATCATCTCCAAAGGAGATGAGCCACCAAAGAGTTTGGCTGCAACTCTCTAAGAGCAGGTAGTATGATCCTGGGCAACCATCCATGATCTTCATCACAGCAAATCAGAATCTCCAATTGTTCAAAGTAATTGTAGGTACACGAGAGAAAGCAACTCCAGACTGACTTACTAATTGATTTGGATGACTATGAAATGTCCCCCATTCCTGAGGTGGCAAAACCTCAGAGTGACTATTGATGCAAGGAGCCTTTCGTGTGCTCCCAGTTGTTACATAGTGCATAGAGGCTGGCAAGTGTCAGTCCTGCCAGACCACCTCGTGCCACTCCTCAAAGACCACCTGTACATTTATACAACATGCCCGTCATGGTTCTGGCTGCTACTGTGTTGAGGTCATCTTCTGCACCTCGTGTTTTCTCAATGATAACACCAAATGCACTATAGAGCAAAGCCAGAGAACCTAGAATATTAGCCCAAAGTGCCCCTTGCCTAGTCACCATATTCAAAATCTGCACATTTCTTGGTTTGGACCAGGCCATGTTCAGGGTTTCCTTCAATCCTAGCCAAAGACCATTCATTGCCCCAAATGCAGCCCCAGTCATGCAACATCCTCCAGTGGTAAAGAAGGCTAGTTCGAATCTGCCCTCGGTTTTATGCTCCAGTTGGTAAAATAAACTCCTCAGTATCCTGAACGAGATATCGTGGATCCACGTTTAAATACGGAGACAGGGGATTCATACCGGTTAGTGGGACGCCAGCCAGATTGGCGTGCAGGCACGCGCTCTGAAGAAGCCAGCTAAGCTGCCCTGTGGTCTTGTTGCCACTTACCCCGCCGCTCTCCATGACGACTGCCTCGAGCTTCCTACCGCCACCTCAGGTTGGTTGGGGTTGTGTAACTCGGCCGTGGCACCCACGGCAACAGCGTGTTTCCACTGCCACCTTCACACGCGGACCTTCCAGGAGCTGGCTTCAAGCTCACTAATTTTTGTGTATTGTGGGAGATCCTGGAAATATAAATAAACCAAAATCTCTGCTCTCTAAAAGATTATCACTTTGAGTTGTTGAATAAATTAACTGTTGTAGAGTAGTCCACTGTTACATGAGCATAGAGGAAGAATAACTTAATGTTCAGGGGAAACGATTAAGGAAGATTATGAAAATGGAATAGTATTTGGCTTATTAAATGTCACTCTAGTATTTACTGACTCTTAATAAGTGTTGACTTTGGGCTGGAGAGATGGCTCAGTGGTTAAGAACACTGCCTGTTCTTGCAGAAGACCCGGGTTCGAATCCAAGAACCCACATAGCAGCTGACAACTGTCCTTAACTCCAGTTTCCAGGAATCTGACAGCCTCTTCTGTCCTCCAAGGGCATTGCACGACATGGGTGCATGTACCTACATGCAGGCCAGCACACACGTACACATAAAAATAATATTTTTAAAAAAAGTGTTGACTTCAAAAGTATTTATTTGAAAACTGCTATTTAAAAGATTCATGTTGTAAAGTATTACCTTTATAATAGAAATATGAAAATGCATACCAATAAATTGAGGAATATTTATGAAGTGTTACTAAGCATGGAATGTCCAAGGAATATCTTTTGCATATGTAATTATTTAATCTTCATGGTAACTCAGCAAGGATAAATTATTATCTTCCACTTACAGATGAGGAAAATGAATCTTACAGAAATGATGTAAGTGGTGTCAGGAGGACTTAAAACAGTTTTCTGGTTTCTCTAGCAGTGTGTCTTCTCTAGCAGTATATGAAAAGTGTAGAGCTTTTAGAGAGAGATTTTGCTTTCCTTATCTGATTATTTTCTTGGGTTTAGTTAATTAGCATGAATTTAAACTTTTCAGTTAAAGATAAACGAAGGAATTTAAAAAGCTTCCCCCCAAAAATTTTTCTTAAAGGTTTTATTATAGAATTTGCCATTTTTTTAGGGTGTTGATGAAGTGCCAGGTAACTTGGTTTTTAATGTTCTTTATTTTCCATTTATATTGCTAATCTATTTTTGCCATCATCTCAGAACCCTTTGTGTCTTACCATAATCTAATTTGGAAGATTTGAGTGTAAAATATACCGATAAGTGTAAAATACACTGTTTAAAATAGGACTTAAATATGATACTACGTTTATAAATAAAATAGTCACTTTATTTACTAAAAAGTAGAAGAAAATACCAGGCGGGCGTCGTGGTGCACGCCTTTAATCCCAGCACTCAGGAGGCAGAGGCAGGCGGGGCTTTTTGGGGTCGAAGAAAGCTGGGGGGACAAGGAGGACCTGTCTCCAAAAAACAAAAAAAAAAAAAAAAAAAAAGGCAGGTAGAAGAAAACACCTTAGGAATGGGTGTTAGGAGAATTCTTTTTGGAAAATGAGAGGAAAAAGTAATCTGCTAAGAAAGAGAAATTAAGGAAAAAGAAAGGAGAAAATTGGTGATAAAGGTCAACAGTACATATGAAGTTCTAAAGTGGAAATCCATTATCTTAAAAACTTGTAATTCTGCCGGGTGTGGTGGCGCACGCCTTTAATCCCAGCACTTGGGAGGCAGAGGCAGGCGGATCTCTGAGTTCGAGGCCAGCCTGGTCTACAGAGGCCCAGGACAGCTGGGGCTCCAGGGAGACCCTGTCTCAAAAAGACCCCCCCCCCAAAAAAAACCCAAAGACAAAAAAACCTTATGATTCTTTAATATAAAATTTGGCTTGAATTTATGACGTTAGGCTATGACTAGTTCATGTATGATAATGTACACTAGTTTTGCTTAGATAAACATTGTTACTTGAATTTAATGTAGATGTTTGTGATCATGAAGTAATCCTCTGAACCTAAAAACTGAATGATCTTCTGTACCATACTTGAAGCTATTTCTCTTTAGCAGTTTATGGCTCCCTCTGCTTCCTAGGCTGGGATATTGGGAAACCCATATTTATGAAACTATCAAAGCATTTATTTTGTTGAATGTTAGCTTGACAAAAAGTGTGATTTATTCATTATTCTAGAACATTTAATAATTGTGGAAGTCTGTGATGTTCTGCAAAGTACCATACCTCAAGTACTAGATCTCTTTACATTTCTTTTTGTACAGGATATATTGCTTATGAGATTCTAGTTTTGCTGTGAACATATTCTGTCAGTGCAGGACTTTGTTAGGCTGCCTGAATTGTAAAGTTAAATAATAGTACAGAAAAGGAAAAAAGGTGAGACGGTCATTTTCTGCAGCAAGACTGAGGTTTGCCTTTTTAGCATCATGTACATGTTTTCACTTGCAGTTACAAAAATCGTAAGGAACGATTGCAAAAAAATAGACTGTCTGTTCTTCCACATCAAGAAGGGTTAAATCTTTTGCTACTTTAAATCTACTTCCCAGTGCCAACTGAAACTGCTGGGATTTTTCTCATTATTTACTTTTTCCTGATGTCATGAGTTATGTGAAGGATAGAAAACGAGAAAGGGACAGACAGCAGTGTACACACTTGGCCCACTGCCAAGGCAGGGACCATTCGGAAGTGTTTGGTTAAGGTTCTTAGACAACTTGGAAACATTTCAGTTTGTCTTGAATTGTTTTTCATAAATGTATTTGACCTAAAGATGCGTATCCCTCAGTATCTGTGTATGTTAATGCAAGCTAATCATTTTAAATCATGAGTGATGATGTTATGATAATAGATAATATAAAAAGAAGTTTAAGTTTTTCTTTTTGTGTTAATAGACAGGCAGTGGTTAAAGGTTCCCTTCCACATCCTTTTGCCTTAACGTTATTTGAGGACACACTGTACTGGACTGACTGGAATACACACTCCATTTTGGCGTGCAACAAGTATACTGGCGAGGGTCTGCGTGAAATCCATTCTAACATCTTCTCTCCCATGGATATACATGCCTTCAGCCAGCAGAGGCAGCCAAATGGTAAGTGATCTGGTTTTTTAAATTACAGGTTGGAACGGCTCTGCAGCACTCCCATGTCTGGCTTTTGTGAGGTCAGGAGGAGGAAGGACATATCCAAAGGCAGTAGAAGGGAATAAAAGAGGAAAAGTGTTCGACATAATTCAGGTTAAACAACAGCCTGTAAATCCTTGGTGGCCTGATTGCCCTGACCACATAATACCTGCCTTTTATTTGGGACCTGGTTAATGGAAATGGAGAACAGAGAGATGAATTGGAAATTGAGACAACTCATTGCTAAGTTTCTACATAAATGAGTTTCTTGTTCATGTTATTTGTGTTTAAATGTGTTCATGTGAATGTGTTCAAAATACACCATTAAAAGGAAGCCTCTTAATCTAGCTGATGAATTTCAAAACCTAAGTTTGCCAAATAAACTACCTGATGAAACATTTCTGTGCGTACTTCTCTTTTTATATATTTTCCTTTTTCACTTTGCTCCTGTTTTTGGTTACCCTTTACAATGACCTGGGCTGTGTATGCTGACAGTGACCCCTTGTAAGACAGGAATGGAATTGGGTTTTAAAGGAATATGAGAATGTTAAATGTTTGACACTTGTGTGTAAATAAATGTCTGGCATATGTCTCAGTGTATTTCAGATTGTTTTCCATAGCCAAAAGTGAAGATTATTTGGATCCTATGTTGCTTTGTATTAGTTTTTTTCCATTTTGGGGAGATAATCAAATACTGAATGTGCTACATGAAGTCTGACGACCTTGAACCCATAAAAACATTTTAAAATACATGTGTTGCTCTTCTGTAAAACAAGAAAATGTTTAGCCACATGAATGACTGCCCCCCCCCATACATAGCCCTCAGGAGAAAAACTTCCCTTTTTAAATGGCACAGTTGATCCTTTGTTTTACTAGTTTGAGAGTTTGCATTTATTTTTGATGTTACACTGTTTTATCTTTATGTCTTATATTCTGTTGGTCTACATTTTATGCTTATTTTTCCATGAATATTATTTGGTTACATTCATTTCTACAATGTGTACAAAGGTGGCAGTTTATCTGTCCCCTCCTCTCCCCTCTTCTTTCCCTCTTTCTCTTCTCCTGCCTGCCCTGCCCTCATCATTTTGTTTTGCATTTATTGAGGCTAAGTGGTATATGCACTAGACAACTGCTCAGATTACTAAACTACAGCCTAGCCTTTTCAAATCAATAACCACAAGAACCAGGATCCTAGGGCTGGAGAGATGGTTTAGTGATTGAGAGAGCTTGCAGCTCTTGCAGAGGTCCCAGGTTTAGTTTCCAGCATTCACAGCATCTCACAACTTCCTGTAATTCCAGCTCCAGGAGATCTGGTGCCCTCTGGCCTCCATGGGCTTGCAAGTGGTGTGCATAAACTCATACAGGCGCACACATAAAAATTTAAAAACATTTATTTTATTTTAAATATTTTATTATTTTTATTCCATGTGTATGAATGTATTGCTTGCATGTATGTGAGTGCACCCTGCATGTATGTGTTGCGCAGTGCCGCTGAGGTCAGAAGAGGGCTTCCAATTGCCCTGGAACTGGAGTTAAGGATGGTTTGTAGCCACCATGTGGGTGCTGGGAATCGAACCTGGGTTGTCTGCAAGAGCAGTTAGTGCTCTTAACTGTAGAGCCATCTCTCCAGCCCCTATTTTTATTTTTTAAAATATTTATTTTTATTCTACCTGTCTGAGTGTATTGCTTGCATGTATGTGTGTTTGCCCATGTCATGCAGTGCCAGTGGCGGTCAGAAGAGGGTGTTGGATCTCCTGGAACTGGAGTTATGGACTCTTGTTAGCTGCCATGTGGGTACTGGGAATCAAACCATGTAAGAGCAGCCAGTGCTCTTAACAGCTATCTCTAGCCCCCTAAATCTTAAAAATCAGGATCCCAGCCCAGTGCAGTGGCACAAACCTTTAATCCCAGGACTCAGGAGGCAGAGGCAGGAGGATCTCTGTGAGTTCGAGGCCAGCCTGGTCTACATAGTTCCAGGTCAGCTGGGGCTACAGGGAGATCCTGTCTCAAAAAGACCTGAAATTAAAAAAAAAAAAAAAAAATCAGGATCCCAGGTAGTTCACACTGACCTCCAGCTCACTGTGTAGCTGAGACTGATGTAGAACTTCTGTCTTTCCTTCCTCTGCCACCCCCTCCCACCTCATGCTGGGTTGCAGATGTGTGCCACCATGCCCAGATACCTGTTTTTCAATTTTCCCTCTTTCAATCCATTGTACTTCTCTATTTTGTGTTGCTTTCGAAGGTAGGACTTTTCAACATTTGAACTGCTTTTCCTGGCTTTCAGAACCACTGCCACTGTCTTTGTGTTCCTGCAGCGTTGGTTCCTGTTAGTTAGCATAAACCTTAGTCTCTACTTAGTGTTCCCCTTACTGTCTAACAGTGTCTGCTCTCTTGGCTTTTCCTTCTATGTTTTTACCATACCTGAAATGTTCTGAATGTTCTGCCCTCCAGGGTGTCCTGTGTGCTCCATGAAGAGAGACTTCATATTTTAAACATTAAGATTGATTTTCTACCTGTCCTCTTACAGTCTGAAATGTACAAAATAGTGTCTAGCTTTCTTGGGTCTCCCCCTGCCCCCACTTTTACAGTTTGTTAATTTTCACTCACTGGTGAGATTGTAAGCTTTCTCAGGGCAAGGAGTTTGTGCCTTTCTTCTTGGTTATTTCTCTTTGGATTGAAAATGCTAAGTAGGTTTTCACTAATTAATTCCTTTCCTTACAGATGGTTTGGTAGTCAAGCACCTGGATGACATTTGGTAATAATTTTGGTTTATCACAGTTGCTCATGTTATGGTTGTTAACCTTTGTGTACCTAGAGTGAGTGAGGTCATCCATAGTCATTGGTATTAATCAGTGTGATTTATATTTGACAGCTACAAATCCATGTGGAATTGATAATGGTGGTTGTTCCCATTTGTGTTTGATGTCTCCAGTCAAGCCTTTTTATCAGTGTGCTTGCCCAACTGGGGTCAGACTCCTGGAGAATGGAAAAACCTGTAAAGATGGTAAGATGATGATATTATCCAAGAAGAAAAAGGATGATGGGAATGATTGGATTCTTTATCATTCTTTCATCTTTCTATAGTAAATGGCTGTAGTTTCCAGTGCTTTGGGAGACTAGTCACTCAAATAGCTCCATAGCAGGGATGTTTTATGTTTTATGGCACCTTTTAAATTTTACTTTATGGGTTTAGTATTTTAAGTAACACGCTGTTTTGAAAGAAAAAAAGTAGTATTTTTATTTATCAAATTTCATAGCCACTGAAGTCACAATCGATCTTTCAGGAGTCTCTTATCTCATAATAGGTAACACTTGGGGAATCGTTCATTAAACTTTAAGCTATATCTTTATGATATATGATATCATATATCTATATGATATATATATATCATGGGATAGATAATTTTTTTTCTGGTGATTGAAGGATATTTTTGATTGCTTTTTAATGACAAAAAAGTACCTTCAGAAGAAAAATTCCTTGATGTACTGTTAAAAATAACTTCTTTTTTATTTAACTGCCACACTCTGCCTTTTCTCCTTACTCTTAATTCCCTATAGAGAGGGCATGTTGGCGAAGTCACTAACTTAGGACATGTCAAGGGACTTCTGGTTTGGAAGAACACCAGTTCTTCTCTTTTTCTTCTTAATGAGAATGTTATTCTTCATTCTTACCCCTATGGATCACCATCTGGTTCTCTAGCAACCAGCAAAACCTGGTAAGAAAATTGTTATATTTAGCAGTGGCTTCTTTATCTGACTCTGAGAAGCAGAAGCCTTTATTATTTCAGAGTGTGTGAGAGAGCTCCTGGCAAGGAGGTCAGAGTCAGTGAGGTGGAATTGAGTCTGCTTAGTGGATGTTTGTTATGACTTGGCATTGATAAATTGTCTGCATAGTCAAAGGTGAAGCTGGCTGACTCTTGTCAGATGGTTTCCATGGCAAACAGTGATTTGGTTTCAATTTAAACAAAAGGTTTTTGTAACATTGCTTTTTTGTTTAAAAATGTATCCTTACTTTTAAAAAGAGGATTTATTTTCGCAATAGAGGTTTATCTTCTCCCTTATAGTAGAATAAATACACGTTTAATCAGTTTTGAGTTTCACATATTCATTTGGCAACTAGTAGCCTTAATTTAACTCTTGTTTTGATCACCTTGCTCAAATTAATTGCCCTATGACTTTGTTTGCAAAGTTTTGATGGGCTCCTTTTGGCAGTTAGCTGGGGCAGTGAGCTATGCAGAATTATTTCTACTTTGTGCCTGCTGTTGCAGTTTGGGTTGTATTTTCTCCAGTTTGAGTTCATTTATCATTAGTCCAAGTCAGGCAGCTGATGATGAAGGCGTCCCTCCTCCTCTTAGCGTCCGCACCTTAGATTCCAGAGGCATACTTGGAGCTTTTGTAGAAGGCCGAATTTTCTTTTAGACATATTTTTTGTAGTTAGGATTTTTTTTTCCCTTGCTCTTTCAGCTGTCAGTTTGCATATTATTTTATTAGCATTTTAGATGATTGTTTTGCTGATGATTTACTTGAACATTAAAAATAAAAACAAAGATTAGAGCTTAATATCTTCATTTTTTAGGTATGTTTTCATTGAATCCTAGTTTGGGTTAAAAACATTCTGAAGTAAGTTTGATGTATAAGTCACTGAAATAAAAAAATTGGTCTTTATTTTAATAATAAATTAATTGATATTTATTGAATAGTTTCATGTTTAGTACCCTCCTGAGTTTTACATCTATTTGCACCCTTTTAATTTTGCAGCAACCATAAGGTAGTTAGATGGAACTAGTGTTTAGTATTTTGCCTCAGTTACTTGAACTGAGGTTTATTGGCTCCACAACTCTTTTTTTTTTTTTGTTGTTGTTGTTGTTTGTTTTTGTTTTTGGATTTTTTTGGTCTTTTTCAGACAGACTCTCCCTGTAGCTTCAGCTGGCCTAGAACTCCTCTCTGTTCAAGACCAGCTGGCCTTGAACTTACAGAGATCCTCCTGCCTCTACCTCCTGCGCTGGGATCAAAGTCATGTGCCACCACGCCCAGCTGAATCCACAACTCTTGTTCTTAACCCCTGTTACACCTCTCTGGTTCCTCTCCCCATGTTGCTGTTTCCTTCTAACATTCTTCTGTTTCAGAGTACAATCTTTATTTTTAATAAATTTACTGAGTTGTACAACCATCATTATAATCCAGTTTTACAACATTCCCATCAACTACATTCTTGTCCTACATTTTTTTCCTCAGACCTGTGTGCGTGGGTGTGTATGCGTGCATACATGCTCATTTGCATGTGTCTGAACCATGTATAGTTGCACGTGAAGGTCAGAGAACAGCCTCAGGTTGAATTCCCCAGGTACCATCCACTGTTTGGTGTTGTGTCGTGTCGTGTCATGTGGCAAGGTCTCTTGCCCAGAATTTGCCAAGTAGGTTAAACTGGCTGGCCAGTGAGTCCCAGGAATCTGCCTGTCTCATCTTACCCAGTGCTGGGGATTCTAGTGCGTACTGGCACACTTGGCTTTTTTTTTTTTTTTTTTTTTTTTTTTAATTTTTTTTTAAAAAAGGGTCTCCCTGTAGCCCCAGCTGTCCTGGAACTATGTAGACCAGACTGGCATTGAACTCACAGAGATCCGCCTGCCTCTGCCTCCCAAGTGCTGGGATTAAAGGCGTGCACCACCACGCCCGGCTACACTTGGCTTTTTAAAGTGTGGGTTCAAGGGGTCAAACTCAGGTCCCTGTGTTTATAAGACAAGGACCTTACTGACTAAGCTATTTCTCCACCTCCATTCTTAGACCTTTTAAAGCATACTTCTTAAACAAAGGATCTGTATCCTACAGATTTGCCTCCTCCATGAATACTTAGCTATTAGGTCTAAAGTGATACCGATTACCTTTATGTAACTCTCTTATCCAGGGGCTGTTTAGTAAATGAAAGCAGGTGGATCAAAACTTGCTTTGGAGAGATTAGCTGTTATAGAGCTCGAGTGAACTCTTCTATTTTACTGTAACACTTTACATTTCTACTCTAAAAAGAGTTGGTATCACCAGGCATGGAACCCCCTTTAGTCCCAGCACTTGGGAGAAGCAAGTGGATCTCTGTGAGTTCAAGGCCAGCCTGGGGCTTCAGGGAGACCCTGTCTCAAAAAGACCAAAAAAAAAAAAAAAAAAGAGTTTGTATATTTTTTTATACTCAGTTTTCAATTCTTAAAGAATTTTTGCATTCTTTAGAGTGAGTAATTTTTGCCTATGGTTTTCAAATGATTGCTGATTTTTTTTTTTTTCCCTCCTTCGTTTTAGGTGCCACTGAACTATTGCTTTTAGCCCGACGGACAGACTTGAGGCGCATTTCTCTGGACACACCAGATTTTACAGACATTGTCCTGCAGTTAGAAGACATCCGGCATGCCATTGCCATAGACTACGATCCTGTGGAAGGCTATATCTACTGGACTGATGATGAAGTGAGGGCCATCCGCCGTTCCTTTATAGATGGATCTGGGAGTCAGTTTGTGGTCACTGCTCAGATTGCTCATCCTGATGGTATTGCTGTTGACTGGGTTGCACGAAATCTGTACTGGACAGACACTGGCACTGATCGGATAGAAGTGACAAGGCTCAATGGAACCATGAGGAAGATCTTGATTTCAGAGGACTTAGAGGAACCCCGGGCTATTGTGTTAGATCCTATGGTTGGGTAAGAAGCTCTGTTGATAGTAAATCTCTCTTTGCTTCAGGTACCTGGAAATATCAACTCGATAAGAACTGCATGAAGTCTGTTAGTTTTCAATAAACAGCTCTCTAATAACTGCCTTATTTTTAGAATATAGTGGTTAGGATAAAAATCTCAAAGAATTGCCAGATTTTTTTTCCCCCCTGACTATCTTATTTTTTCTTTCTAAACCAAGTTAGACTTGGTTTGGGTGTGGTCTGCAGATCTTGCTCAGATTGCATCATGGCCATGAAAAATGTGGGAAAAAAAATTATTTTCAGAACCTTCCCCCTCCAGAAGATTTGATTTTATCCCAGTTCAATACTTATAGTGAGAATATATCTTACTTTATAGTTCCTTGGTACATTAATGACTCAGATTCCAAAACTTTAGGAGCAGCTTTATTCTGTGTTGCACTGTAGTCCAGAGAAATAACACCTTTCTTAATACTCCCCAGTGTTATTTTACTCTGAGATTTATTCTGAGGGCTGATGTAGTGACAAATATTATGCCTCAGTGTATACCAGTATCTTAGAGTCACTTAAACATCCAGGAGCCTCAAGAATCACTTAACACTATAGGAAGAATTAGTTATTTGGGGAATTCAATTTGTTGTCTATTTCTACTAGGGTAACTTTTGTGCTGGAGATGACAAGCCATCAAGCAAAAAGTGTGATAGTTCATGAGAAGAAGCACAAAGTAGTACGAAAAATATAAGTAGCAATGGAATCTCATTATTGGGAAGCATTTTTCAGGATCTATTCCAAAAACCAGTTTGATATGAAAATGGCCTACATGCTTATATACTGCTATGCTAAATGTTAGAAACATACTCTGTAAAAGTTTAAGTCCTCTCTTTTTCTTCCCATTGACGGGTGGTAACAATATGGGGGGGGTGCCTCGATTTTTATTACCTATTTTTAGCTCATTTTTTAATATGCTTCTATAGGTATATGTATTGGACTGACTGGGGAGAAATCCCGAAAATTGAACGAGCTGCTCTGGATGGTTCTGACCGAGTGGTACTGGTTAATACTTCTCTTGGTTGGCCAAATGGTTTAGCCTTGGATTATGATGAAGGCACAATATACTGGGGAGATGCCAAAACAGACAAAATTGAGGTTTGTTTCTTGTTTTGTTTTTTAATTTTAAAACCAGTTTTATAATGGTTTCTGGTCAGTCTTAGTTTGGCGCACATATTCGTGCCTCTTAACTATTGTCTGGGATTCCAGAGTATTAGTTCCAGAAATTTTACCCTAAGGATAACGGATTGGCTTCCATCTAATCTTAGGATTTCTGAGTTTTATTGGTATAAGAAATGGATAGCTATTTATTTCTAGTCCTAACAAGCTTACATAAATGATTTTCCTCATTTTGGATAAAGCTGCTGCCTGAATTTCCTAGAACCAGTTTCTGTGAAACAAAATTATAGAAGATATATACTGGAAGACAGACCTAAGTCAGGGAAACAAAGCCTATATGCATATATAACTTTAGTTGTTATTGATGTTGGAGTTGGGTGCATATATTAAATATTAAGGTGGTTATGTGCAAATAAAATTTTTGGTTTTTTATTTAAAAATTATTTTATGTGAGATTGTTGTGCCTGCATATATGTAAGTGTATCCATGCATACAATGCCCTTGGAGGCCAGAAGAGGGTGTCAGATTTCCCTGGAACTGGAGTTATGAATAGTGGTGAGTTGCCATGTGGGTGCTGGGAACCGATCTTGGGTCCCCTGAAAAAGCAACCAGTGCTCTTAACTGCTGTGCCATCTCTCCAGTCCCTGTTTGTTTTTTGAAACAGGGTCTTTCTGTGTAGACCAGGATGGCCTTATATCCATGGTTCTCTTGTCTCAGTCTCCCAAGTGCTGCAATTGCAGGCATATGCCACCATGCTTTATTAGAAACAATTTTTAAATTGATTTATAGCCTGCATAGGAGAAAGGTTAATTAGCCAAATCTTATATAAAGAAAAAACATTTACCAAGAATTAAGAATTACCAATAGGATTAAGTTTGTGCAAATAGAATTATGGTGAAAATGATCAGTGGCAAATACTTTATCAGAATGTTTTGTAATGATATATCCTTGATAATGAGTAGGAAGTAGACTATGCTAGAGGTTCCCCTCTTTAAGACAGTTGGGATCGCACTTGGCCTTTGGCTTCTCACAGAAGGAATGGTTTTGAAGAACTCACAGAGCCCCTGCACATGTCTAATGGATAGAAAATTGGGACTATAGAGCAGTTATTTTAGAAAGGTAATTCTGAGGAGTCCAGGAATGCTCCAGGAATAATAAATTAAAGGGCCTTTCTTGCAGAGTGGAAACTTGGAATAGAAGAAGCCCATTAATAGTCCATCAGGCCCCAGTACTGAAAATGGCATCTTTTTTTCTTACAGCTGGTTTCCATTAACAGAAAGTTTTGTATGGCCTAACTGTGTAACATTTTTCCCTGTTATTAGAGTTTCAGTGTCCCTCCTTCTTTAAATCCAAGTTAGTGTTTGAATCTTTAGTAGCTGAAGGGGAGTACTAATGAGACAGAGGTGATAGATTCATGTTTCAAACATGAATTTGCTAGCTTCAGTTGAGTCTGGTAAAGGTACATTGCCCACAGAATCCCAGCCCCTTCACAGTTATGTGCTGTCGATCAACCATGGGCCCTATAAGAACACAGGGATGCAACTGGTCTTAAGAGAACAGCTAAAAGCCCAAGTATCCTAGAAGAATGTTTTCTGTTGAAATTTGACATGAAGGGAAAAGGGCTTGATTTACACAGAAAAGATTCTGTGTTTGGTTTTGTCTTTTTTAGCTTACTGTGACCAGTTGATTGCTTCCTACTGGAAGTATCTCAATTCTTATTTTTCCCCACTTTGGGTATATTTATTAATTTAGACACAGACGTTTACTCAAAGTCACAAAGAGTTAAGGAGGTATTCAGATAGAATAAGTACATGGATTGATAGAATTTGTTACATATACAGTGATATCATCTCCCCCTTTTATCCTTCCCTGAGTGGTACCAGCATTCTTAAACCTAGTTTTTATTTTGTTTTGTTTTGTGTTTATTTATTTTTTCACTGTTGGGTTCAGATGAAAGCCTTTGTGCTTGTTAAGTAAGCTCTCTACCATTGAACTACACTCCCACCCAAACCTGCCCTGTAAGTCTGACTTCATTCTAGATTTCTGGCACATAATTTCTAGTTGTTCTTTGTTTCTCTCTCTCTCTCTCTCTCTCTCTCTCTCTCTCTCACTCACACACACACACACACACACAGTAAAAAGGTGGGTAGGTGGGAGGGAGAGAGATTGAGAATCTGTCCTCCTTTTGACATTGGTAAACTTACTTTTAGCAAATTATCCAGAGACTTCCCCTATTCTTTCTTCTGGAGATTCTGATGTGCTTTCAAAAGTTGAACATCAATGCCTTTGCCATTTTCTTTTCATAGTCACATCTAGAAAATGGAGAACAGGTATTACTTTATCTCCCTCGCCCTTCCTTCCTCCCTCCCGAAAAAAAAAAAAAGGTGTCAGCTAAGCATGGCAACAAGAGAAATGGCATTACACCTACATTTCACCCAGCATACCCTAGTGTCAGTAACTAGGAAATGGCAACCCATGTGTGTGTGTGTGTGTGTGTGTGTGTGTGTTTGTGTGTGTGTGTGTGTGTCCATGTGTCCATGTCCCACACCACTATGCATGGCTTATTTATTCCTTTCTTAGGTTAATGTGAAGAACTGCTTATAGATGACAAACTGAGGAAAGACCACAGCTCTTTGAGGAGAAAACCTGTTCTTTTCTGTCCTGAGACTAGTGGTGATATGGAATCATCCCCCCCCTCCCCGCCAGCATTTTTATCTCCATTTACTTGAGAGTATCCATGTCCCACACCACTATGCATGGCTTATTTATTCCTTTCTTAGGTTAATGTGAAGAACTGCTTATAGATGACAAACTGAGGAAAGACCACAGCTCTTTGAGGAGAAAACCTGTTCTTTTCTGTCCTGAGACTAGTGGTGATATGGAATCATCCCCCCCCTCCCCGCCAGCATTTTTATCTCCATTTACTTGAGAGTAGGCAGATAACATTAAACCTGAGAATGTTAGGGAAAATACATACTTTCAAAATGCTTCTTTTTTCCAAAAAGTTGATCCGCTTGGCTCTGTTATGTAGCACCTACTTCTGGGCACACATCTGACCCTAGCCTGGGTGACATGCTCCCTCCCAACCCTGACCTCTGACTCTAGTCTGGGTGACATGCTTCCTTCCACCCGTCCTCTAAGAAAGCTTCCCAGCTTTCTCAAGCCTAGGTGTGGAAGCTGCTGGGGACTGTAAGGGAATATCAAGTTAATGGTTGGAGTCGCCCTGTTATCTTCTGGAAGATTCAGTCTTTGGGGGATCAGATTGTCTTATATATATTTACAGTTTGAGAAGAAAAGATAATTATCTAGTAAATATATTAAGTGGCAGAACAAGTTCTTGTGTTTGAGTGGAGGACAGGAAGAACTCCTTCATGTAGGCCTTCCTCCCTCAGTAGGGTCCTGAAATCAGCTACTCCCTCTTTTTGTTGAAGTGACTGTGTTGAGTTGACTCCAAGGATTGAGAGAGGTAAGGAAGAATAATTGGGAAACCCTGGTTTTAGACTAGATTTTTTTTTCCCCCATAGTTGGAGAAAGGAAGACTAGATCCCCGAGACTTAAAATCATCTAGAAATAGGGACAGGACACAGGACATTGCTAATAATGTCACACTTTTAAAAAAGACAGTGGCCCTAGCTGCCTCTTACATACAAAAATGTGTAGGTGAGGCTATGTCTGCTTCCTCAGCTCATCAGCTGATTGTGGCCACTTACCTGTAGGTGGTGGTTACAAGGTACAAGCTGGTTCTTGCTTTCCTCCTCCTCCTCCATAACATTGAAGTGCTTTTATTGTCTTTATGAACAGACTTTCTGTGGTGTTTGAAATGTGTTACTGTGCTCTCCAGTTTTTGCTATAGTATGCCAGGGCTTCTTGTATCAGCAGAAATAACAATTTCAGTTTTTGTAGTAAGAGAAATATCAAGAGTCTTTATTTCTCTTTTTTATGACCTTGCAGCTACCAGAACAGTGTTGGCAACATTCACATCTTGGTCAGGTGTCATTGCCTCAAGCATGGGCTGCACTAAGGACCCACAGTACTGCTTACCAACAGCAAAAATGTGCCACTGATTGCTTAAACTCTAAAGCTTTCCCTGGCATGATAGAAAATTAAGAAAGTTCTGTTAACTTCATTTTTCTGTTTTGGGGACTGGATCTCTTCATTGTTCAGTCTTGCCTCAAACTCCTGATTATCCTTCGTTGGTCTCCTTAGTGCCAGGGGATTACAGGTGTGCGTCACTTACCTTGTATTGTTGAGGATGCTTTTCTCATTGTATGCTCATTTAGCTGATTGAAAAAAATCATGTTTGAATCATTCTTTTATCAAAATGATAATGCTATTGTAACTAAATTTTCCTCAGAGTTTGCTTCCACTGCTTTGATTTGGCCCTCGCCCACTGTTGAGCTTCTGACAGCTTAGGAACGCTTGGTAGTTAGAGGTAAAAAGATGTTCTTGTCTTCAACAGTGAGTAGATTTGTTTCAAATCTCTTAGTAAGTTCTTTTACTTTGAGAATACAATACCCATAGGCAGTTTTGTCCAGATCTAATTATACCTGGCACAGTTTTGTTGGGAAGACAGAAACAGAGATTATTAGAACCAAGCAGTTTTGAATAAAGAGGTATTATTGTCTATGATGTGTGTTGAAAACTTGGCAGTTGGTGAATGTTCTGTTTCATATTCTGACTCTGAAATTGCTGGGCTACATTTTCCTCTGATGACAACGTCCTCTATTTTATCAATACCCTAATAAGGAAATTTATTTCCCAAGTGTTCAGATTTCTTTTTAAAGGAATTTCTTTGTCTGGCATTTTTAGCCTGAGTATTGTGAAAGTCTGTCAGTAATACACAAGGACCTGTCTGTGGTGCTTTTCCTTACTGTTTGTTTCTAAGATTCTTAAGAAATGTTAACAATACAGCAATCTTTTGTTAAGATAAAGCTCTTCTGATTATATATGGCCAGTGTCAGCAGTACTTCCTTTTGAAC